CATTCTCTCTCTCCACTGTAGAAAGTAGAGTAGGATTGTGGTCAGACTTAATTTGAGGCGTCGAGTAAAGACACACATCCACCAAGGAAGATTTCAAAAGCAAAATAAAGGCGGGAAATGAAACAGACCCATGAATAACCGAGTCAAAGTGATGTTGCACAAAATGCAGAGAAACCAAGAAGGGGGAGGGTTAATGTATTAAATGTGCTATTGAGAACTTAATTTTATTAAAAGTATTATTACTTAAGGCGGCCTCTCTGCATGCATCTGCTGTCTTGGGGCATGCGGGAGGAGCAGCAGTTGGGTCCTCTGGGTACGCTGCACACCCAGGGAAGTGGGTATCTCTGGGATTCCCTGCCACCCGTGGGTTCCCCACCCTCCCCTTTTATTCCCTTCCAGATGCACTGGCACTTTCCACCCTGACATGCTTGCAGGGAAGGTGAGGCCAGGCACAGAGAGAGCCCTCTCAGCTGCCATCTCCTGAGCTCTGGAGGAAGGGCCCGAAGCTGTGAGAAGAGACCTTCCCGTTTCGCCTACAATTCAGGTAGATTGAGGCCGCCCGTCCCCCAGGAAATGTGCAGGGCCTGCCCAGCACCCGTTCCCCCGCATCTCCCCCAGCGCCGCCCCTTGCCCCTGGCATTGGAGTGACCTCAGTTCTTGGCACCAAGGCCCTGGGCACCAGATGGTGCCTGAGATGGGCTCCTTTGTCTTGCCTTGTAGATGCCCCTCCCCTCTGTGCTGCCCTCCCTCCCCCACCTGCCCTGGGGGTTGGCAAAGAAGGGCAGGGTGGGCACCTCCCACCCCCTTGGCACTGTCCCCAGACCACAGAATTCCAGAGGCAGCTGGCCCTGGGGGGCAGTGGGTTACAGTGGGGAAGGCATAAGAAAGGGAAGGGGGAGCTGAGGAGACCAGAGACTCAGGAGGGGCCAGGGTTGGAGGGGAGGCACAGATAAGAGGAGTAACAGGAGGTGGCGGGACAGCCAGGCATTGCTACAAAACAGCTTTATTTGAGGGTCCTGGTCTGTGATGGGGGGGACAGGCAGTGTACACGCACAGTGGGCACTAAGGCCCTGCCTGAGGCTCCGGGGGGCTGTGAACAGGGAACCAAAGGGCAGGGAAAGGTCCTGCAGCCGCGGGGGGCGGGCAGAAGGACGGGGACAGGGTTGGCCACTGCCAGGGCTAAAGGTTGATGCAACAGGCCCTCTTCTCTCCAGGGCTGGGGTCCTGCCCAGCCTGGGCATTGCCCAGGGTGATGGCATTGGTCCGGGTGCTGTTCTGCCTCTGCTTGGACACCTTCGCAAAGATCTCTGAGAGCAGGAGAGCGGTGATCAGGCCAGACGGTTTAGAGCCTGTGCCACACCCAACCCCAGTTCCCCTTCTGAGCCCTGGGGGTGGGGGTGGGGTCTGCTGGGAGAAGTGGAGCTTGGCTCCTGGAAAACGTGGCCTTCTGATTGATTCCCCAAGCGCCAGGCTACTGAGTGGGGGGCCTGAGGTGAGGAATGGGCATCTCCATGCCTACTGCTGCCCTCTGACGCTATGGGGATGGAAGGGGAGGCTGGGGCAAACTGAGGCGTGCTCTGACCTTTGAGGACAGTCTCGAAGGCCAGTTCCACATTGGTGGAGTCCAGAGCCGAGGTCTCCAGGAATAGCAGCCCATTGTTTTCTGCCAGGAAGGGAAATGTACCATTTATTGTGGGGGGTCAAAGGCGACGACAATGATGATGATGATGATGATGATGATGATGATGATGATAGTAATAGTTACTGTGTTTACTATGTGCACTTTCTATGTGCTAAGCCCTCGCCATAGAGTGGTTTATTTCACCTTTAAAACAACAGATGAGGTAGGCCCAGTCAGGAAACAACTCGGAAACAGAGGATGAAGGACCTTCCTCCATGACTCACATTGAGTAAATGGCCTCGAGGGCATTCGAGGCTGGGCTCCTCTGCCTGTACCCAAATCACGAGATTGTGCTGCCACTAATCCCACAAAATTTGAGACTGCAGAGTGTGAGGGGAGCCCACCAAGACCTTCAAGCACTGAAGGGTAGGACTGTCTCAAAATTGGCCCGGCGTGGTGCCGCACCCCTGTAATCCCAGCACTCGGGAGGCTGAGGCAAGATCGCTGTGAGTTCAAGACCGGCCTGGACTACACAGCGAGTTGCAGGTCAGCCTCAACTACACAGTGAGACCCTGTCTCAAAAAACCCAAAAAATAATAATAATAATAATCGACTATAAGCCTGGTCGCACAATCCTGTAGTCCCAGCACTCCAGCAGGCTGAGGCACGAGGGTCACAAATTCAAGCCCAGCCTGGGCAATTTAGCCACTTAGACCATCTCAAAGATAAAAAAAAAATGGGCTGGGGATTTAGCTCAGGGCCAAGGCTGTGGATTCAATATCCAGAATCGCAAAACATGAAAACACAAATCCAATTCCCAACAATTGGCGATGACGACAATCTCAAGGCCAGTGGGGGGACAGGACAGGAGACAGAGGGGCCCAGAAAGGAGGGGCCCCGGGATCCCGACCTAGAGGGGGTGGAGGTGAAGAGCAGGGCGGAAGTCACGCAGGGGCTCCAGGGGGAGCAGGGACAGGAGGCTGAGCTGGGCGCTCACCAGCGAACATCCGGGCCTCCTCAGTGGGCACTTCGCGGGCCTGGCTGAGGTCACTTTTGTTCCCCACGAGCATGACAACAATAGTGGCCTCGGCGTGGTCATAGAGCTCCTTCAGCCAGCGTTCCACTACGGCATAGGTCTGGTGTTTGGTCAGGTCAAACACGAGGAGGGCGCCAACTGCTCCCCGATAGTACCTGGGCGGGAGCGGGGGCGGACAGAGACAGTGGGGGTGTCAGGCGCAGCCTCTGGGCGGGGCCTTTAAGCCAGAACCCCTGTGATCGCCCTCACGTGACTCCCCAACCCACACTGCCCTCCCCCTCCCGGCTGTCTCCCCTGGACTAGCAAACGCCGGCCGTCGCAGCAGGGATGGCCTCACAACCCCAGCAGCCTCCCGCTGGGGGCGAAAGGGCCGGCTTCAGATTGGCGGCGTCTGATTGGCTCATCGGAGGGCACGTGACTGAGTGTGCGTGGCCCTTGCCTGTGCAATCGTGGCCCCTGCTCCCCCCGCGCGTGCACAAGCCGTCTCTCCCGGAATTGGACCTGATGCGAACCGGGAGACATTTGGGGTATCAGCGGGCCTAACTTCCCGTGCCTCCTCGGAGATGTAAAATCCACGCTCCGGGTTTGGCCCTTGGCGTTTGTGATCAATGGATGTCTTCAAGTGCAGAGCGCTGTGTCGACGTCAGAGGGCGCTCTCGAACCACGCAGCTGCCCCGCCCAGCCCCACCCTTATAGCACCTTGCCTGCCTTTAAACAGGGAGTGATTAATTATAGCACCTTATTTCTGTAAGGGTAACATGCAGTGCCGCGCGGGGAGTGCTTTGTGCCTTCCTGGACACGTGGCAAAGGCTTACTGAGTGGTGCTAACTTGTTTTGAGGCCTCCTGGCTGCAACCTGTCAGGCCTGTTTTGAGTCCTGTCCTGCGGAGTCGCCCACCGCCCCTCTCCCTGGGCATTCCCTGTCTTCCTCAGCCTCCAGCAGCCCCCCAGCCCCGCAGACCCGAGCTCACGCCGAGGTGATGGCCCGGTAGCGCTCCAGGCCGGCCGTGTCCCAAATCTGGGCCTTGATGGCAGCAGTGCCCAGCATCACAGTGCGGGTGGAGAACTCCACCCCGATGGTGGTGCGGCTATCGTGGCTGAACTCATTGCGTGTGAAGCGGGACAGCAGGTTGGTCTTCCCCACACCAGACTCGCCAATCAGCACCACTAAAGGAGTGGAGACATATAAGGGTTGAGCATAGGGCAGAAAAGTCAGAAAGGGACCCTGAGCCAGGTCCAGGAGCACACGCTTGTAATCCCAGCTTTCTGGGAGGCTGAGGCAAGAGGATGCTTAGTTTGAGCGCAGCAACCTATCAACTTAGTAAGACTCTGTCTCAAAAAATAAAAAAGGGCTGGAGATTCACTGTAGCACTGTGCAAAGGCTCTGGGTTCAGCCTTTAGCAACACGCGCGCGCGCGCGCACACACACACACACACACACACACACACGAAAAAAGTAAAAAAAGAGAAAGGGAGAACTGAGCTTGAAAAACCGAGGAGGAAGGAGGAAGCTGGGTCTCCTGGGAGAGACTGGGGCCAGCCAGCCACTCTGCATAATTCATCTCTCCTGGTGGGCAGAAGGGACAGGAGTTTTAAAGGAACTCGTGGGTGCTGCCAGTGGTGACACAGCCTGCCTGTGCTGCACGGGATGGAGTCAGGTCTGTGGGCTGTTTATTGGCGTCACTTGGATAGCTGACTGAGGTGTGCACATATGCACCAAGGTGGGAGGCATCTGGGCTGGGGAGCAGGAAAACACTGGGCGAGTCTCTAAGCACAGGCGCTGGAGGGCAGAGGGGGGATTGGTATGCGAGTCTCCACAGGAGCAGAGGTGTGAACAGGGGTATGGGTGAGGAGGAAATTTAGCAAGTGACACGTGGGTGAAGAATGTACCGAAGTCTGTTTTCCTCTGTGCGTGTGCATGTGTGTGTGTAGGAAGTTAGGATCCAGCTGGACATGGTGGCGCACGCCTGTAAGCCCAGTACAGAGAAGGCTGAGGCAGGAGGATTGCTGTGAGTTAAAGGCCAGCCTGAGCCATGTCATGAGTTCAAGACTAGCCTAAACTACATAGACTGTATCTCAAAAAAAACAAAAAAAGGAGGAGGAAGAGGAAGTTAAAGGAGCAGGAGAAGAAGAAGAGAAAGAAAGAGAGGAAGAAGTCAGGATCCAGTGTTCTCTGAGGAGGAGCCATCCTGCGTGACAACGAGCATGACACTGAGTAGGTGTGTTCGCACAGGCCTACTATCCCAGACCTCTGGGAGGCTGAAACAGGAAGACTGTGAATTCAAGCCCAGCCTGAGCAACTTAGTGACTTAGCAAGACCATATCTGAAAATAAGAGAGGAGAAAAAGGACTGGGGATGAAGCTCAGTGTGAGGGTCCTGGATTCGATCTCCAGTACCACGGGAAAAAAAATCTTATTTATTTATTTATTTATTTGCTTATTTATTTATTTATTTTTTCAGTACAGGGCATCAAACTCAGGACCTTGTGCCTGCAAGGCAGCCACAGCACCACTGAGCTAAATCCCCAGTCCTATTTTGTTTTTTTGAGACAGGGTCTCACTATGTAGTTCAGGCTGACCTTGAATTCATTATGTAGCCCAGGCTGGGCTTGAACTCACAGTGATCCTCCTGCCTCAGTCTGCTGAGCACTAGGATGACAGGTGTGCGCCACTGTGCCCAGCATTTAAAAAAAAAATCTTGGGCCAGGGATTTAGCTCAGTGGTTCTGGTGCCTGCCTTGCAAGCACAAGGACCTAAGTTCAATCCCCGGTACCAAAAAAAAAAAACAAACAAAAAAATCTTATTGTATAGGGCAAGAAAGCGCTGGAAGCAGTGTGGCTGTACGTGCATGCTCGTGCTTACGTGTGTGTGTGTGAGTGTGCACACGTGCCTGCCCTCTCTTCTGGGGAACCTCAGCCCATCTTGTTCTCCCCAGAGGGTGGGAGTGCCCAGGCCACTCCTCAGTGCCACAGTTACTCAGGACAAGTCTGTAGCATCAAACAGAATTAGAGTTGAGTACTGCTGACTCTGCAGCCCTTTGTGACCTTTTAGTCTGTCTCTAAGCCTCAGTTTCTCATCTGTGAAAAGGGAAATATTAACGATCAACATTTACTGAGTGCTTACTAAGCCCCAGGCACCATCCTGAAAGCTGTGCGCATTTTAACTCACCTAGTTCTCTCAGTGCCTTCTTTACACAGACAAGGAAGGCAAGGCCCAGGCAACACAGGAGGGTAGAGATGTGACACCCAGGTCCACCTTCAGGGAACCAATGGGAGGACAAGAGGGAGGCGCTGCTTTTGTGTGTGTGTGTGTGTGTGTGCGTGTGTGTGTGTATACATTGTAAACAGAGGCATGGGCAAGGAGAAAATTTAGCAAGTACACACAAGTGAGAGGGACATATGGAAGTGTGTGTACCTGTGTGTGCGTAAAAAATGTGCACGCCTATAAGCCCATCACTCAGGAGGCTGAGGCAGGAGGGTCACTGAGAGTTAAGGGCCAGCCTCTAGCTGGTAGCTCCTTTCGCAGCTGCCTCACAGAGGCCGTGTCCTCCCGGGCAGCTGCACGCTGTGCCTGGACAAGGTCAGTCCATCGCAGCTCCCCAGCCCTGACCTCGGCTTCACAGAGTCCAAGTTGCGTGGACATCCCAGGCCCGTTTTCTTCCCCTGACTTTCACTGGCATTGGGCCCTCAGATAACACTAAACACCCCAAACTCCTTGGGGTCTGCTTCTGGAGACCCCCAGGCTTTAAGGGTAAGAGGCAGAGCTGAGCTCTGACCTTGATCTGGCTCTGACCATGAGGCTATTCTGCCTCTCAAAATGAAGGAGAGCTTCTAGATTCAAGGGATGGTGGCTTGTACCACTAGAAAGGACTCCATAAACAGCAGTACCTATTAGTATTTATTGCTCAGACTCTTGCTAACGCTTACGCCGTCTCCTTCCTGGGAAAGATGCCAGAAGCACAGGTTCCCAGCTTGTGCTGGGGTGTGGCTGAGGTTGGGAGAGGCAGTGGGTGGGGTGGTTAGAGAGAGAAAGGGAGCCTGACCGGTGCACCCTGCTCTCAAGGTGGGGCGGGGGACGTGGGGACCCGGAGCAGGGCTAAACCCAGGGGTTTCATGTGACAGACGCAGGAAGGACCCACGCACACTTCCAGGGAAGCACGCTAAACCCAGGGCCTGCTGTCAGGGCCAAGGCTCTGCCCAGGCACAGGCAGAGGCAGCTTCCGGCCCCCTGCATCCGCCCAGTGTCTCCCCTGCGTATTCATCCCCAGCCCAATCAGGGACTGGCCTCTGCCCTTTCTCGTGCCTTGTACACCTGCCCCGAAAGATGACTTTCTTGCCCTTCAATCTCCTTTTCCTCCTTCTGAAGTCTGTCCTCTCGTGGCAGGGGCTGACTCCTCCCGGGAACTGGAGCAGGAAGGAGAACCGGCACAGCCAGCATCGTGGTTTGCAGCAGTGGAGCACACTGGCGACCCCAGGACCTCTGCCCCGCGATCAGACCCTCTTTCCTCCCTGTAGCTTCCTTCTGTAGCTGGGGGGAATGGTGACCCTAGGGGTCCTGCTAAGAGATGAAAAGCAGGATGGGGCCCTCTCTGGCTCTACCCATCTCTTTCTGGTGTCAGTCTCGCTCTCTTTGTATGAACCCCAACTTACCTTTGAAGACAAAGTTATAATCTTCCTCGGTCCCGTTCCCCATCTTGTCTCCTCATGGAGGGTGCAGGTGGCTTGGAGGGGCAGAGGTCACGAGACTGTGTCGCTCAGTGCCCTCAGCCCTCGGCTCTCCAGAGGCCGGGCCCCACCTCTCCTCTCATTGGGGGCCAAGAGACTTCTGCAGCCAGAGGGGCAGAGGGCCAGGCAGAGCTGGAGAGGCTCAGCTCCGGCAGGTGGGGGTGCTGAAAGTCGGAAGCAGAGAACAGGAAGAGAGGCGGCCAGCACCTGGGGCCCAGGTGGGTGGAGAGAGCTGACGTCAGACAGGTTAGACAGGTTGGGTGTCTGCTCCAGCCTGGACTCCCACTTGCGGAGCCAGCTCTCAGGGATTGTGGGGAGGCTGCGGGGTGGGTGGCACAGGACCTTGGAGAGACACACCCCAGGCTGAGTGTGCCTGGCTTTAGTCCTGAGACCTGTGGCAAGGGGTGCAGGCAGCCATGGGCAGAAACAGCTCCTGGAGGAGTAGAAACCCGGTTGGCTCCTACAACTGCAGAAGCTCAGGCAGGGGTACCAGGGGGGCCCCCAGAGAAAGTGCTACTGGAGTAGAGGCTAAGGGCTGATGGAGGGATGGTCACTTGCAGCAGCACAGAGCTGTAGGTGCTGTATCCTGCCCAGGGACTTCTGACTCTCCCCACTGGCCCAGGGGCTGGGATGGGGACAGGTTTAACCTGGGTGGACCTGGGGCTCACAAGTGACCCACCTGCCCTGTTGGTCCCTTCCTACCTGCTCTGGGGGCACTGAGTAGAAGGCATGGGACGGGAACTGGAGATGGAGCACAGGGACAGGCTATGCAGGTGACGCCTGAGAGGCTTCTTGGGGTTTTTCTATTCCTTGCCCAGGACCCAAGGCCTCACTGCAAGATCCTCCGCAAAGGCTTCAAGATCTGGAAGGGGGAAGCTGGCTGTGGTGGCGCATCCCACCCAGCACTCAGGAGGCTGAGGCAGGAGGATCACTGAGTTCGAGGCCAGCCTGGGCTACACACAAAGACCTTGCTCCCTCCTGCCCTTTTCAAAAAATGCCTGGAAAAGGAGACTTAGATCAGTGGTTCCACCACCTGCCTCACAAGCGCAAGGACCTGAGTTCAGTGCCCAGGAAGAAAAAAAAAAAAAACCTGGAAAGGTCTGGGGAGTCCACGAACGTCTGGGAGGAGAAAGGAGTGACCTCTTTTAGGTAGCCAAGGGCACCTTTCCAATCCCGAGTAGAAAAGTCACCCTCCGCACAGCCTGGTACAAAGGCTCCTGTGTTCCTTGCTCGTGTAACTAGGCCTCTGCTCCTCTCCGCTCACTCAGGGGCGTACGCTTCTGCTGAGTGCAGGGCTCTGTGGGCCGCGCCACTGGAGAGGCTGAGGGAGTGGGGCCACTGTTGCAAAGGACCGTGGGGTCAGGGGCTACCGCAAAGGGATGGGTGGAAATCCACCCTGCAGAGCACAAGGGATCCCTGAGCCACCCGTTTCCTGTGTCCTCTGATTCTTCCCATCCAGGAGAGTGGCCAAGACACAAGGCAGGAGTTAAAGTTTATTCTGGAACGAACAAAGTCCTGACCTCCCCCACAGTCCAGGAGGGTTTTCCCCGGGCCCTGCCCCTCCGACTGTCGCCACCAGCGTCTGCACGGCCCACTAGGATGCTGCTACTTGAGTGAGTGGCTCCTCCAGGTACTGCACCAAGGCCTGGGCCTGCAAGAGGGAGCTCACATCGGTCCCCACACAACACCACTCCGAGGGTCCCACGTCGTGCTCACCAACGGCCACAGAACTCCAGGGAGGGCGCAGGGGGTGGGTGCAGTGAGAAGCAGAAAGCCTGGCCGGGGGGCGGGGGGGCACATACACACCTTGGCCTTGAGCATCCCGAAGCCCACAGTCTCCTTGGCGTACATACACAGCAGCAGGTTGGCCACTCGGGTGATGGCCACGCGGCCCTCCTGGGGGGACAGGATGGATGCCATGCTCTGCTCAGCACCTCTGCTCCCTCCTTCCCCGGGGCTTCTGTGGCCCTAGCAATGCTATCTTCCTTCCATTCCCTGGGAAGCCACGTCACAGTCCTGGATGTGAGGTTCTGAGCCTGGGTCCCCGCCTCACACAGACCCCCACTAGACCTGGCCTCCCAGAAACTGCTGTCTTTCGGGAACCCCTACCTCATCCCTGTTGTGGATATAATACAGATATGAAGGTTTCTATCGAGGGTTATGCAAATAAGAGATATTACTATTATGGGTTCACCCTGGAGACGCTCAAAACCAAATGTATATTCTTCCTCTTTTCCCATGTTAATGTAAACTGCAGAGATCAATGTAAAAGGTTGGCTAAATTTGGCGTGGTGATGCCTGCATGTAATCCCAGCACTGTGGGAGGCTGAGGCAGGAGGATCCCAAGTTTAAGCCCAGTCTGGGCAACTTAGCAAACTCTGTCTCAAAATATAAACAAACAAATAACTAAGGGCTGACCACACAGCTGAGTGTAAAGAGTCTGAGTTCAATCCCTGGTACTAACCCCCCCCACAAAAAAACCCAAAACGACACACAAAAGCTCTGCCACTGAGCTACCCACTCAGCCCAAAGTGATTTCTTATGTCTGAGTTGTAGTAAACGTTTGAAGTTATTGCCCTATTGCAACTCTGGCTTGGCAATCAGTAGGACTCATCTGTGGACCCCAAACGGCACTCGCTGTGCTGTGCTAGAGGGGGCGGCTGGTTATAATGCAACTCCCTCACAGAGAGTTCGCCGTTCAAACAGCTGGTTCTGCACACCTTCCCCAACTGTGTCGGGGACCGGGAACCGCAGCCTACAGCCCTCTCTGGTGTCATCTCCACGACCCTCCTCCATCCTCACACCACTCCCACTGGTCATGAGCTTGTCCTCGCCACCCAGGCATTTACACTTGGGTCCCTCCAGACAGCCGTGGCTGGGCCCACGCCCCTCCCGGCCTCTGATGAACGTCGCCTTTTCAGGAGCTGTCCCGGACACGACCCTGCCCTGTCTCATCATTTCCTTTCTTTTTGGCAGGGAAAGGTATTTAACCCACGAGCATCTTAACACTGGGCTACGCCCCCAGTACCTTCCCCCTTTCCTTGAGGCAGTGTCTTGCTAAATTGCCCAGGCTGGCCTTGAATTTGAATTTGTAACCCTTCTGCCTCAGCCTCCAGTAGCTAGGATTATAGGTGTGTGCCCCTGAGTTGGGCTCTGCTGTTCTGAAAAATCTAATACGTAATTATTTTGAACTACATGTCAGACTGTAAGTTTCATTAGGGCTCGAAATTATATCAGTTTGCTACTGACATAGAAACCCCACTATAGGGTCAGAAGACAAATTCTTGGGGCCATTGCCAGGTATTCATTAAAAGCATGGTTTGTACGAGGCATGGTGGCGCACTCCCATAATTCCAGCAGTCTAGGAGGCTGAGGCAGGAGGATCACAAGTTTTAGCCCAGGCTGGGCAACTTAGAAAGATCCCATCTCAAAACAAAAAATAAAAAGGGCTAAAGATGTAATTCAGCATGAAGATGCTGAGTTCAATCTCTAGATCCAAAAAAAAGCACAATTTTTGCTTTTCCCTAAGACAGGGACTCAAAATGTTTTTTGCTTAAAAAAAAAAAATCTATCTCTTTGTATATCTAGATAGATAATACCTTCACTTGGGCCTACAAATCCCCAAAAGGTAACTAAAGTAGACCAGTTTTTCACACTGTAAAACTCTGCATCAAATCCTTCTCGATTCTGCATACAGACATCAGTCATTTAGGGAGTGTCTAAAAATCGGCAAAGCAAGGTTTATTAGCCTGAAATTCCTTATACTATCTCATCACCTTTTAAGAATGAGGACACCTGCACCCTGACGTCTCCACTGCCCTAAACCTGTGGTCACCTTGGACTCCAGCAGAGCCTCCTGTGACTGAGGCTGCCCCTCACACGGTGAGATCCCTCCCTCAGAAACTAACTGCCCTCCTCAGGAGGATTCAACTTGAGCTGGAAACCAGGGCCCAGATAACTGTCCAGACCCTGCCCACCTAAACTGCTCTCTAAAAGACGCCTCTAGTACTTGTGGGAGGACCAATCCGATCATCCTCATCAGACCACGTCCCCTCCCACTACTCAAGCTGGAGTCTTCCTTATCTTACCTTCCAATCAAAGCTGTGTCGGTTCATGCTGTTACTTTATCGGAATTTCCCTGATCACTAAAGGAAACACCCACGCTAGCCAGTGACACTATTTTGCTAGTCCTAAGAACGCTGCGGGGACCTAAATGCTTGTGGAAGAACAGATCCAGAGAGGAATTAGAGAGTCCCTGCTCCCAACAAGTCCACAGTCTAGCGGCCACTTTTTCTTTCTGGACCTCCTTTCCGTTCTTTGTAACCTCAAAGAGGTTGAGCTGGGGCCTGAAGACTCTGTCATGTGGGTCAGTGAAAATGGGATGGCAACGTTTCTTTCGCACATGGACATCACTCTACAGTTTACATCCATTGCGTCATTTGCTCTCCGTCATACCCTGCACCTCGCTAGAGATGAGGAAGCCCGAGGAGGTTGAGAGACTTACCCAGGGTTCCACAAATAAGTGGATGGCGGGGACCTCAGGCCCCGCGCTCCTTCCTCATCACCACTTGACGCAGAGGGTCCTGCCCATTACAAACGCCGCGCAGATCAACGCTTGGTGTGAGGCTTCTGGAGACCCTGTCCCTACCCCTCCAACCATCCACGGCGGCCTCCAGGTCCCCCTCGGGGTCCCCTAGAGGAGCAAGGGAACTCCCCTCTGCATACCATGCAGTCCATGAGGATGAATTTGAGATTGTCTTCGTTAAACGCTTGGTTCCCGTTTCGGTCGTAGGCGGCCCAGATGTTACTGGCAATGGCCGCAGTGACCCTGGCGTCCGTGTCGCCGTAACCTGAATAGGCCAGCAGCGATCCCTCGTTATTCAGCAGCCTGGAGAGGGGCGGGGAGGAGGGACACCGACATAGTCAAGGGAAGCGCAGAGCGCCCAGGCTCGGGTCCCAGCTCCCACGACTGGCGCTTCCGGGAAGCAAGGCTGGGCCGCGTTCTGGAACTCGTCCGAAGCACCCGGCACACCGGATTCCCTTCTCGGGGGGCCCTGGAGGGCGGCTCTCCCAGCAACCGCCTGCCCCTGCCGCCGCTTCCCCGCCTGGTGATCCTACCCCGTTCCTCCCTCAGTCGGCCGCGCACCGCCCCACTCCGGCGCTCGCCGCTCGGGCTCTCCGCGCGCACTCACAGGGTGCTCTGGACGCCTCCAGTGTTGGCTTGGCTGAGCACCTGGGTCAAAGCCTTGGGGCGCAGCATGCCTGCGGCTCCTAACCCTAGGCTTCTGATCCCCTGAGGGACCTCCCGCAGTGCTTCACCAGCCGCTTCTGAAAACCAGCTGCCCGGCTCAGCCTCACCCGGGAGTCGTAGCGTCCGAGCTACTCGGCTGCCGTATTTCCGACACAACCCTCCTCGCGAGGGTCGCTGGGAATTGTAGTTCCTTACGGCCTCGCGAGGCACCCTGGGAACTATAGTTCTTTCCAGTGAGACCACGGTGTTATGGGGGCAGCGAGCGGGTGTGAGAGAATAGTGTCCGTGTTGGAAGGACTCTTGGGGGGATCCTTGGGGAGAGGAAGTCACCGTTTCTGCTTTTCTCGATTAGTGTCATTTCACGATTCACTAAGGATTTTTTGAAAGCTCATATCTGTTAGGCACACCTTGGTTAGTTCTCAAAGCATGCTATGAACACTTCTGGGGGAAGAAGCGAGAGAGGCCATCATTTCGGGGAAACCGAGGCTCCGAAGGCCACGTAGGCCGCCGCCCGGTCCAGTCGTCCGGGCCACTGCCCGCGGGGCGCGCGTCCG